CATGTTAAAGTTAACCACAAAAAAAGGGGGGTTAATTTTAATCTGGACCGTGGAACTGATCTCATTTATTAAACAGCTGCATAGATCAGGGATGATGGAAATGTAGGGAGGGACAGAATGGGTGGAGGAAGGCAAGATTATTTCTTTTGATAGCAGTGCTGACCTGTGACATTTTATAGCACATGAGAAATTACAGACTACGAGTGGACTGACTTTTGGAGCACAGTGAATTAACTTATTCTCAAAATTAGTGTCAGGCCCTTACAATGTATCATAGATAACCAAATCAGGTTTTAAAGATAAAAAATAATTTTATTAAAGGGGCAGTGAACTTATTTTGGTTTCTCTCATAAATCAATAATTTATAATAGCCACAGGTAAGTCTTTTCAACTAAATTCTGTTATATAACTTTTTAAACAAACTTTCTTTTATTTAAAGAGTTGTTTTGAAACAGGTAAATCAATACATACCAGTTAAGATAGCCAACAGAATCTTTTAAGTTGTTTTCTGTTTACCAGAGCACAGCCACTTAAAGGTAGTGTATTAATTTCCAATCTGTACACATATTTTTATTAGTTACCAGTCTAGTCAAGTGTCTGGATTCTATCCATATAAATATAACATTTATCTTTCATATACAAATGATCTCAGAATGGTACTACATTGTAAATTGTGCATTGAAGCAAAATATCTGCAAAACCATATCTCAAAAAAGCTTGGGGACATCTTTGAACATTAAGAGATTAATGTGTTTTATACCATTCAGATGAAATATGGCTTAGGTAGAAGTAACCAAAGATTTTTCATGTGCATTTAAAGTACAGGGCTTTCCCTTCTTAGTATGAAGGTTTTAAGGTATGTATAGAGAAAATTCTGCAGTAGCTTTCTGAAGATTTAAAGCAAACTTCCTTTTTTCCTATTGCTCATAGAAGATAAGGAAGAATGGCTGTGGCAAAGCATATAACATGACTTGGAAAGTTCCCATATTCTTCTTCGTTCTTAACAGAAGATGTTTATCTTCTAACACCTTTCCTGGAAATCAGATTTCTTGCTAAGAAGCAAATGTAGTATAGATTTGTTTTACTGAGGTGATATCTAGATCACATCTAAGAAAAATCTGTGTTAAATGGGGCAGTTCAGGGGTCATGTAATTTACAGTGAGTATTCCGGTTTGTTGACAGTGACTTGGGTTTTTGTAAATTAAACTTTCTATCTTAACGGATTTTCTCTTTGTAGTACAACTGTGACTAGTAATTGGAGATTGTAATTTAATTCTTTGCATAAAGCACACTTCTTTATAGACAAATACACTTTTAAAACATGTAACATGAGAAAATGGTATAAAAAATTACAATACAAGATCTCTTCTAAAAGCTGGCTGGTTTACCTATGTAGATACACTTGGCCATTTTTATCTGCAACAGCAAATATCTTTCTGACACTGCAGGCATGGCCCTGGGTCACAGAAAGCAGAAACTTTCTGGAATGTCTTTAGAAAGCCTGACCTTTCTGTGGAGTAAAACTGCTGACCGAAAGCGTGAGCATACATGTTGTTATGTTCTCTAAATACTGTACATACAAAGTTAGTTGTAATTATTAAACTTCACTAGAGGTACTGCACAATTGTACTGATGACACAACATTCAAGACTGACAAGTGCTGTTCATTAAACTTTGTGTTACCTTTACTACTTGCAACTATCCTCTCAGTCAACTGTGTTTGGGTTCGAGTGTTATTCCTCTTACTCTTACACCTGGGCAAAGTATTTCTTAGTAGCAAAGAATGCCTGTAGAACAAAGAGGGTGAGTAGGAGGATTAGTGTGAGCTTGTGATAAGACATCTTTACACTTCCTTCTCTTCTGTGTGATAGAACAGCTTATCAAATGATTAAGAGATAGTGATGTAAAAGGACGGCTATCTTGAATTCAACCTAATTATCACAGTAAAAATAATTATGGAGTGTTTCTAAAATGCTTAGAGCAGCAATAAGAAGAATCGAAATAGATTATATCAGCATCTGTAACAGGCGCTGCTTCAGAGGCTCACTCCTTAATGATCTGCTTATGATGAGATGTTTCACACAAAGGGCATCTTTCATCTGTGCGCTGCCTGACAATTCCCATGCTTCTGAGACCAAACAATTTGAACAGAAGTATCCTCTCAGTTTCTGCTAAAGTCCTCTAGACAATTTTACCAAATTCTCAAGCTGGCTTCTGCTCTGCCATCCTAGACAGCAGCTGAATGCCACCCATCTCCATGCCCAGGCCCTACAGCAGCACATGGAAGCTGCTTCCTGAATGAATGGTAAGAAATACCAGATCTAATATTGAAAACACCTCTCCAAACAGACATGCATGCTCAGACATCTAGGCAACAGATTCTGGATTCAGACTATGAGGGAGCTCTATTGAGCACCTTTACCGCAGCATTTGCAATAATTATGTGGACCTATGTCCTAGTTAGAACAGCTGGGACCAGTTCCTCACTGTATGGGTGTAACCCAAAACTGTGTATTCTATAGCCTTCCATGCCATTTCCCAGAAACTGTTATCAACAGACTATTTACACCCTCTGCCCAGAGCAGCCTGACTCCTCAGGCTATAAACTAGGTGTTAAGAGGCCTGCCAGAGAGGAGGGTGCCCTCTGTCCTCCCACCCATTGTGGAACTCCCCACACTGAGGGAAGTACTGGGCATTCCTGCCTGAACTGGAGAATATATAATCTTGGAGTCTTGGAACTTTTTTTAACCACTCATGGGATCCAGAGGAAGACTGCAGACCACCGGTCTCGACTGGACTGCAATCACCACTCTCGACCAGACTGCAACAGCACTCTCACCAACAGGTTTTCCCCTCTCCTTTTCCTTTGGACTCAGGGGGCCCAACGAACACCACTCTGTTCATGCCCCAGGGTGCTGGGTTATACATTTGGGTTTTGTGGGTTAAAACCAATTGTTTGTCTGTATAATCGTACTTATTGTATTATTTTATTAAATTGTTATTCTGACTTATAATCTCTCTTTTGAGTTGGGTTCATTTCCCCTGTTGGTTTACCTTTAAACCAGCACAACCTAATATTTCATCTTGCAGTTCCAAAACCAATAAACAACAGCATGTGAGGGAGGAATTAGAGTCTCTGGAAATGGCAGCTTCCCCCGCTCTTTAAAGTTTAGATTTAGTTTCAATGTGTGCTAAGATGTTTTACAAGAACCAGTGATTCTTCCAGTCTTCCTAAGGGGAGGAGTGGAGGAACCTCACTCATGTTAGATCAGTTTTATTTCTGACTGGATTTTTGGATGATGGTTTTATCCTTGCTTGGAAAAATTTAACTCTGGCATACCTAGGTGTGAGTTAGTTTGTGTGAGTCTAGTTAGTTAGAAATCTCAGTAAATTATTCTTTAATTACATAGAGTATTTTGAGAGAACGCTTCCTGAGCTCACAGACAACACCACTGCACTTGGTAAATTATATTATACATTTATTTAAATGAGCTGTTACCCTAATAGGGCAGTATCTATTCTTATTTTGAGTCATTAGTGAACCACAATCAGAACCCTGACAGTCTAATTAATTTATCAGAAGCCATTAAAAACAAAAAAAAAGCCACGAGCATATTGAACCATGCTTAACTATTCATCACAGCAATCCATCACAGTTACAGTGAGGTATTTAAAAATAAGAACTATATAGTATCACAGAAAGGTTTGGGTTGCAAAGGACCTTAAAGATCCTCTAGTTCCAACTCCTCGCCATGGGCAGGGATACCACCCACTAGAGCAGGTTGATCAAGGCCCCATCCAGCCTGCCCTTGAACACTTTCAGGGATGGAGCATCCCAGCTTCTCTGATCAACCAGTTGCAGTGCCTCAACACCTCTGAATATGTAACCTTTCCCTAACATCGCATCTAAATCTCTCTTCTTTTAGTTTAAAACTATACCCCTTTGTCCTATCACTATCTACCCACATAAAAAGTCCCTCTCCCTCTTTTTTATGAGCCTCCTGAACATTTCACACTATCCTGTGTGACTTATTAGAATTGTTAGGGTTGGAAAGGACCTCTGGAGATCATCTAGTTCAATGCCCCTGCCAAGGCAGGGTCACCTAGAGCAGGTGACACAGGAACATGTCCAGGTGAGGTTTGAATGTCTCCAGAGAGGGAGACTCCATGATCTCCCTGGGCAGCCTGTTCCAGTGTTCTGCCACCTTCAATGTAAAGAAGTTCTTCATGTTGAGGCATGTTTTAGTTTATGGCCATCGCTCCTCGTACTGTTGCTGGGCATCACTGAAAAGAGTCTGGCACCACTCTCTTGGCACCCATCTTTGAGATATTTATATGCATTAATGAGACCTCCTCTCAGTCTCCTCTTCTTTAGACTAAGCAGGCTCAGCTCCCGCAATCTGTCCTCATAAGAGAGATGCTCCCAAGTACTGGAAGGCCACAATAAGGGCTCTCCAGAGCCTTCTGCTCTCCAAGCTGAACAACCTCAGCTCTCTCAGCCTGTCTTCAGAGGAGAGGTGCTACAGCCCACTGATCACCTTGTAGCTTGTATCATTGGGGAATTACCTGTAATTCTCATTTGTAAGGTCGGGCTAGATTTAAAACAGTACTTCTAGCCTGCGGGTTTTCCATGCAGGGAGAAATAGATGGCAGGAAGCTTTGTTAGTTACAGGGGCACCTCTTCTAAAGTCGGGGCCTCCTAAACTCTCTTGGAGGGTGCCCGCCGAGGGAAGAACAGCCGCCCGGCAGGGGCCGCGGCGGGCCGGGCCTCCCCGGCAGGTCGCGGCTCCTCCCCGGCGCTCTGAGTCACGGCCCGTCCCCGCTTGCACAAAGTCTGCGGCCGGTGCCGAGCGGGGGCCGCCCGCTGTGAGGGCGCGGGGGGGCGCGGGGCAGGATGCCCGCCCTGAGGGGACGGAGCCTCCGGGGCGGGCGGGCGTGAGGGCGCTCCCGCCCGAGGGATTAACGGCGGCCTCGCTGTCCCGTAGCGGACGGCGATTCACCTGGGTGACCGCCTCCCTCCTTCCCTCCGTCCTTCCTTCCTTCCCTCCTTCCCGGAGCCGGTCGTTTCGGCGGAGAGGGAGTGGAGCCCGCCTCGCCCCTCCCCGGGGAAACTTTCCGTAGCCGCCTCCCGCGCCAGGTAGGGGCAGGTCCCCGCGGGGCGGGAGCCGTGAGGGGGCGGCGGCGGCGGGGACGGGCCCTGGACTGAGTTTCGGAGGTGTCGCGCCACCGCTTGGCCTCGCCGGCGGGGCGGGGTGTCGGGCCGGTGTCCCCCGCAGCCGAGCAGCTGCCGTCTGCCGCAGGGCCGCCGCGGGCTGAGGGCAGTATATAGGTCACTGGAAGTAATGCCCGCCTAATCCCCTTTATCTTTTTGGCTCGGCTCTTCCGCTGCTGGTTTGTGGGGCGACCCTGGGCAGCGTTGGTCGCAAACTTCTGGGAGAGGACCCAGGCTTCGCGCAGGGCTGTGAGTGCCGAGGTGAGAGCGTGGGATGCGTGCTTTTATCTCCAAGGCGGCTCTTTCCTCAGCAGCGTGACGCCTTTCAGAGTGCCAGGTATTCCTGCGTGGGTCTGTCACCCCCGTGACCCTGTGCTTGGGTGGTCAGTTCGGGTTCGGGCTGCTGATTTAACAGGGGAATAACATTGATTACTTCTTCCTCGTTGCGTCACTCACCAAAATCACCGAAGGCTGTTTTGATATTTGCTTTGGATGCAAAAAATCCCGAGGTTTCGGCAACTTGGGGGCCCTGGTAACTGGAGAAGGCAGCGTGCCCTGGTAAAATGATTGCTGTGTTGCTTTCTCTGGTCTTTGAGGAACTATTAGCAAGGTCACGTGAACCTGTTCTGTCGCCTAGGGTTGTTGGTAGTAACTCGGCACGGTTTTGAGTTGCTCCATGTGGACAAATCCGTAGGTGCCGACAGGTGCCCGCTGCCTGCTCGGAGGCTGTGCCTGGGGCCAGCCTGCCAGTACAGGAGTTTGCCAGGTTGGGGCATATGGTTTCCTGTAACTGAGAAATGCTCAGGCACACTTGATAGTCTTTGGAGATTTTTATTTCAGTCTGATTTTCTCCTCTTCCCTGGGGTGTATGGTTGGTTTTCTAGTTAGCATTAACACAACTCATACGATGATGATAAGAAGAAAAAATGCATGAAAATGATTGTATTATTTTATATGCCACCTTACTACTTCTGATTGAATTGAAAGAGACTTCAGAATGTGCCAGTGCCCTCTCTCTCTGCCTAGGTCTTTTGTTGATCAGTGTGAAACTCTGATGCTGTGCAAGGGTTTATAGTTGAATTTTCCTTCTGTACAACAGTTTTTATTCTTCTTCATCACAGTAAGGATTCAGAGGCTTATCTTGTTAGTTGGGAAACATGATGGTTTTTATTTTGTTTTCATTTTCAGAGAAAAGAGGGAGTGATAATAAACTGTCCATTCAAAGACATCTCTCACACCCCAATAAGGTAGCCGTGCTAGGTCATTCAGTACAGACCTACGTTTCTGGTCTGTGCTGATTTTATGTTGTAATTTCCAGAAGTAAACCATTTAGAGAAATTGTTGTTTGGAAGGGTTTGTAATATCTGAAGGAGTATTAGGGTTTTCACATTATTTGTGCTACCTTACTTCTGGGCTGTGTATAAGAGTCCACCTGACCTGAAACTAATCTAAGAATTAGGACCTAATGCTGTAATTCCTTTCTTCCTCTCTGACTCTACTTTAATGAACATGGAAAGTCAAAGGGAGAAGGGAAAGACAGAAAAGCTTACAATCTACTTTGTAAAGTGTAAACAGTTGCAAAGGGCAAGATTGTACCAGTGAGATACTGGTGTGACGACCACAGTTGTAAAGCTCATGGAAAATCCAGATGCCTTTTTCTCTTAGCTGTCTCAATCAAGACAAATGTTTACAATTGACTTTGCTAACAGCTGTTTTAGTCTTATTTATTGACCCATGGTGATTGAGTACATGCTACATGTGCTTTGAGAAAGAAGTGAATCCTATTAGAATGATGAAAAATGTGTGGCCAAAGCCCATGGAAGAAACTTTTTTTTTTTTTTTTTTTTACTGTGTCTAATTATATGGTGGTGATGGTAAAAATTGAATTGTGTTCTATAAGGGTTGTTCATGGAAGATTTTTTTTTTTTTTTTTTTTTTTACTGTGTCTAATTATATGGTGGTGATGGTAAAAATTGAATTGTGTTCTATAAGGGTTGTTTTGGGTTGGGTT